TATTTCTTTTTTTTCCTCCTAATAATGTGGTTTCTTTTCTGCAGCTTTTTTTTCTTTTTGTCTTCTTTTTTTATTTCTTTGGCTTCTTGTTTTGTCTTGTTTGCATTTTTTTTTTTATTTTCTTTTCTAATTACTTTTTGTTGCACTATTTCTTTTTTTTTCTTTCAAGAACAGCTTCCTTCTACTTCAATAGTTATTATGTTTCTGTTTTGTTCTGTAAAATTTATTTTCTTCTCTGGCTACTTTCTTTTTGCATTTTCAATTAATTCTCTAGTTATTCTTAATAGAGCAACTTCTTTTGGCTTCTGTTCAGTGAGCATCGCAACAATTTTGTCTTTTCTGTTAGGTGTTACATATATTTTGCTTAACTGATTAAAAAAAATTTTGTTGTGTATGCTATTCATTGCCTAATATGCTCTTTTAATAAAAATTGTTGCTAGCTTTCCTATATGTCTTCTAACTTTATATTTTATTTATAGCTATATATTTTTGTTTAACTACTAAAACTTTTTGTATACTTCCTTTTTTATATATAGTATTTTATTTATCTGTTGTATAATGTATCTAACTATCCTAGTTTAGTATTTTGCATATGTTTGTTGTTGCTTTGCTGTTATATGTTTTTGTATAATGTAAACAGATTTGTATACAGAATCTAGCAAAATTTCTTTATAGTTGTTGTTTTGTAAAAATTTTTAAAAAAATTTTTTTTTCTTCTATAACTATCTATCTAGCTTTGCAGTAAACTTCTTTTCTATACTTGTTTACTGTTTTTTATATTGCTGTTTCTTTTTCTTAGTACTGTTTAAAAAGTTTTTTATTATCAATTTAGTAAAAATCTTTTTTTTTTTTAGCTGTTTTGTGTCCAAGTGATTATCAAGAAGAGTGTAATATAAGAATTAAAGTTCAGATAACTTTATTTGCAATTTAACTGACTATGGCACTCAAGGCCCATCTAGATTTGTAATATTAAAATATAATTGTAAAATGATTTTATTAAATTTGATAAATTTTTTTTATTTTAATTTTATATAATTTTAAGATTGACTTATAGTAGTTTATAGAATTGCATTATTAAAAAAATTATTAATAAAAGTTAATAAACCAAAAAGATTATCTTAACATTAAAATATATATATATATATTTTTTTAAAAACATATTTATAAATTTTATTATAAAAAATTTTTAAAATATTAATAAACTTTTATATATTAAAATTTTAAAGATTTTATTTAAAAATTTTTACTATTAAAAATTTTTTATGATTTTTAAGATTTCATATATTTTTAAAGCTAAAAAAAAATTTTATACTTTGTACAAATCTAAATTTTTATAAGTAAATTGCAAAAATATTACTAATAAAAATTAACATTCTTTATATAAACTAAAATATTGTATTAAGAACTATAAGCTTAAATTAATATTTAAAAAGTTTGTCAAAATTTGTAAATAATTTTTTTATTAAAAATTTTTTCTAAATTTGTTTATTTTTAGCTTATAAATAATATATATTTTTTCTTATAATATAAAATTAAATACTGCTATAATATAATTTTATTTTTAAATATTATCAAATAAAATTTTATTTAATTCATGATCCACATGCCAATCAGTAAAAATAACTAGTAATATTTGAAGCAAATTTTTATAAATTATTAATAATAATTTATCAGATTGCAATTTTTAAGACTTAAACAATACTATTTATAATAAAACTTATTTATATTTTTTGCAAAAAGAATAAATATTTGAAACTTCAAGATATATTATTTTAACTTTTTTTTATTTTTTTATTAGTAAAAATACATATATATTCAATAACAGAGCCAGATTTCAAAGTAAAAACTTGTCTAAATTTTAATTATTTTCTATATGATCTAGAATAAACCTTCCAATTGCACTATACTGCAAGTATCACATTTTTATATCACAGGTAGTATTACTCAAAATATTGTAAACCAAACTTATTTAACACAACACATTACTCTTAAAAAGTACAGTATAATATATAAATTAGGTGCTTGTGCAAATGCTTTACACTACATGAATTAGTGAAAGTTAGATCTATAAGTTATAATGAAGTTTTTCTTTCTTAGTCTGAAAACTTCACTAGAACAAGTTACTTACTGTAAGTAATTTACAACCTATCTCAAATACCATTAGCTACTGCTTATAGTATTTTTAAAAATAATACCTACTGTAATTAAGACCCAGGTATATCTTTTAGCTTAGCTCTTGAATAATACTCAGATATATAACTATTAATTTGCTACTTTTCATATAAATTATACTCAAATATAGTACCTGGTTCTTTATATAATACTTACAAATACTACAGTACTATGTTATTTAAAAAATAAAGTTCTTGAATAAGACCCAGATATTGTAGGCAGTGGCAAACAGTAGCTACATTTAGTAGAATCATGTTTTTATCAAGTTCAGATGAATTTATTAAGTCAAAATTTTCACCAGTTTATTTAAAACTAGTAATTAAGTTTATTTGCATTAAAGATATTTAGAATAGAGCTATTATCTAAGTAAGGTTAACCTATTTCTATAAACTAAATTTATAAACAATTTTTTTTAATAGTTGGTTAAATAATTCTTTTTTGTAATATTTTAGTATTACTTTTTTATATTTTATCTTCACTACTGCCAAATTATAGGAAGTAAAAGCATTAGTAAAGACATTTTAAAAGAATGCAGATTTGAATCTTAGAGTAAATAATTTGGATCACAAAAAAGAAGATGTTACCAAAAATGTTTTGTAAGAACACTACCCAGCTTTAAATTTTAGAGCAAATTAATCTGAATCAGAGAGAGATAAGTGTTAACAGAGATGCATTGCAAGAATACTACTCTGATTGCTTTGAAACTTGGAGTAAGTAAACTTTAATCAGAAGAAAAAAAAGCATTAGCAGACCACATTAACTTGGAAATTAAATTAGAAAGAAGCAAAGTGTTAGCAGAACCACTAATAAGAATACAATCCTACTTTGAATCTTGGAGCAAATAAAGTATAACTTCTGACATGATCCTAATATGAGTAAAAACCTAGAAGTGAATCTTTAAGTTTAACACTATAGCAGATTTAATTTATAATATAAAATAAAGAAAAGTCTGCTACAATGATAAACTTAAAGATTCACTTCTAGGTTTTCACTCTACAGCATTTATATAATGATTTAAGAATATGTAAGTAAAAATAAAGATATCAATTATTGTATAAAAGAGTTAAAAGAAAAATTTGGCACTGCATTTTCTGCAATTTAGTATTTACTTAACATTACGTAATATGCATCAAATTATTTTATTCACATTAATCATTTCACTTAGTACATAAAATTTACAGTTTCGGATATCATGTTCTACTGAATACAGATAACTATCTAATAGTCTATAGGCATTAATAGCAAAATAAAACTAAGCATCTATCTGATTCAGATTAACTTCAGACTAGTGATAAAAAAAATATGCATTAATGCACATGAAATGTTTCATGCACATAATATTGTATAATAAAAAAAAGAAAAAACAATTGAGAGAAAAGAAATCTTAATAAGATAAAATATGCATGAAACACATTTTTACTTCAGACACAAATTTTTTGACTAGTCACTATTTTCTGATAAGAGTAACAACTCTAACTTAGAATCTATTGTTTTGATTGTATTTGTGAATAATAAACAAATTTAGTAAAATGCTATCTCTAGTTTTTAAGATTTTGTACATTGAATTAGAAATGAGGGTTTTGAATTTAATAATAAATCTTATTATCACTTATTGCATAAAAAATTTTTAAAGGTAATTTTAGATAATAATAAGTAATAATATATATTAAAATTACTAATCTATTTTTGAGCTTGACAAATATTAATTTTATTAGTAACATATTAATGCAGTTAAAATTAATATTAGGATAGTGATTTATTAGAATATCAAGCTTTTGAGATTTTATATATCAGGCTTCTAAGTATATATATATGTCTAAATTATTTTTGAACAAAAGTATTTTTGGCAAACATTTCAGCATTGCTAAATTTTTTATTTATAGCTGTTTGCATAAATTCTAAGACAAGTAACAAAAATTTGGCTGAAATTAATTCTGCTAAATTTGATAAATATTTGATCTTAGTATATAAAATTTTGATTTTAGTATATAAGCTTTTGATTTTTGAATATAAGCTTTTGATTTTAGTAAATACTGATAACACTAAAATCAAAAGCTTATATACTAAAATTAAAAACTTATTGGATTTGGCAGAATTAATTTCAGCCAAATTTTTATTACTTGTTTCAGAATTTATAAGAACAGCTATAAAACCTTTCAAAATAACTATGCTATATAATGTATTTTGATGAAAAGAGTTCAAAAAATTTTGGCAATAATTTCAGCAACTATGAAAAATTAATTTTAGCACTATATAAGAATAATTTTGGCTATCTAAATGTCATAATTCTTTTTATTAAAATGGGCAATTTAGGCACATATATATTCAAGTAAAGATTAGAATCTATGAATTTCAAGCATTCATTTATAAACTCAAATTTTTTAAGCATTTAATAAGTTTTTTTTCAAATCATAAACCAAAGTTTCTATTAAAAACTCAAATTAAATTATTAGTTATTTGTTTTTAGATACTCTCTGTATATTTTAAAAAATAAAACCAAACATAATAAAATATAAACTTCTTATATGACCAATTATCTGTGAATATTCGATTAAAAAAACTTGTTTAGTTAATGCTAGTAATTTTTTATTAATTCTAATCTCAACTTCAAAGAAGCCAAAATTGTAATTAACAAAATTTAAAAGTTATCACTTATTCAAACTATTTATTCATATAATTTAGTATATGACTATTGCAATTATTAAAATCAGTTATTTAACTCTTTATTACTAAGAATTGCATTATGACTACATAATTGAAGAATTTCTCTATTAGCTTATACTTGTTTGAGCTGCCTATTCATGATGTTGATAAGTGTATTGGCCTATTCAGTTTTGAATAATAAATATTTTTGAAACATTCTCACTCTCAATTTTATCCTTAAGTATACTTTTATGAAGGGACTGATATATGTTTTGTGCAGTATAATGATTATTTTTATTTATATATTAGTCAGAAAATATTTCTTTAATATTGTTCTCACTTTTTTTGTAATTCTTTTTTTAGCACCTTTTTTTTTATATTTTTGCTTCTCTTTTAACACCCACCCTGATGGCAATAGAAATTTAATAATATTCAATCTAGAAAATGTCCATAGTAAGCATATATTAAAAGTAATTATTAAGTCAATATTTACAATACCTGTTGTTATTATTCATACTAGTATTTTTAACTAATATACTAGGTTTCATTTTATGATCTATTTTGTAAATAGGTAAATTATTAATATACAATTAATATTCAGAAGCCATTATGATTATTTACTTACCTAATCTGGCATTTTTAATATCTTTTTCTAGCTAATTCTCTAAATTTGATACTAAAATGTTTTTATTTTCTTTATTATTTGTTTTTATTTCTCTTAGCTTTAGTTTTTTTACTAGGTTTTGCTGATTAAGACATGTCAGATTAAAATCTGTTATTTGAAATCAATTTTTTAGTAAAAAAAATATATATTTTTTCTAAAAAAATAACTATTTGCATATAGCATTTGGATCTGGTATTTTCTAATTGAAACTAAAGATAGTATGAATAAAAACTTTTGAATTAGATATAGAGATATCTTTTTTGTTTAATTTTTTTAAATTAGTAGGTAAAAATATTTTTCAATTTCCAATATTAGGTATCACATATGCTAATATATATTTAGAAAACTTTTCTTTAGTCAGCTATTGCCATTCAAACCAATTTGAATTACCAAGTATAGTATTTTTTTTATTACCTATTATTATACAATATATTAGCATTAATCTGAGATATATGCAAATTAAATTTTAAAACTAACTTCTGTTTCAGTTTGGTTTCAAATTTGTCACAGAGGTTTTATGAATATCTTTAATAGCATTCTCTATATCTTGGCCTACAAAAATATCAAATCCAAGATATATATAATAATTTATTGCATGAGATATTTTTTTTTTTTTTTAACCTTTGGCAGCCATGATGGTCAACCAGTTAGAAGTTTATTTATAAATGTTTAGTACAGACAATATACAAATAGAGCTATATCTAACTTCACATGCCATCATCATGTGGTTATCCCAATTGGCACCTATGAGTGACCTGTTATACCAGACCTGCTAAAGTCTGAAGCAAGCTTATCTGTCTGCTGCCCTACAATTGAACAGCACCAATCTGATACTATTTTTTCATAAAGAGATAAAAAACTAAAAAAAAGTTTTTTTGTTGAGAGGAAATGCATTAAAAAAAATATATAAAGGAGAAATATAAAAAAAAAAACAAATATCAAGAAATTAAAAAAAAGAGAATTGCTGATAAAGGCCAAACAAGCAGTTATTAATTATAAAGTCTATGTTGGCCTATTAAAAATTATATGTTACTAAATACAGTAATCTCTATTTTAACTCTATCTAATCAACATATTTAATACTAAAGCTTATATTTTAAAGAAAACAATTTAACTAAAACTGAACTGGCAGAGAAATTTCTATATGCCAGATGCACTAACTTCTTGTCATTGGATCCATCTTCATATATGACTTATTATACTTTTCATCAGATCTTACATTTCAACTCTTGTTACATTTTCGACCAATCATCTAATCTTTTGCCAAAAATCTTCAATCTCATCTTATTGTTGTGTTTTTCCAAGACACATGTACTTATGCTTTATTTGCAACATGGGCCTTTTCCAAATAAAACTGATAAACAATCCTGATTTGGAAAGATCAATAATGCTGATTTTGATGAGGTAAACTGGATTGTCTACTTTTCGATAAAAATTTTTAAAAAAAAGTAGAAAAGAAATTTTTAGAGCACTAATTGTAATAAGCATAGGAGTTTATATTATATAGAATAGCATATTCAACTAGGCTTTTATTTTTACTATTGCTAAGATATAACTTGACAAAAACTTTCTTAATTGTAGCTAAAATTACTTTTTCAATAATTTTATAAACTTTTATCAGAGAGTCAAACCTATAAGAAGCTATCTTTTTTAACTCTGTTTTATATAACCTACATGAATCTGAAACTCTTGAACCCAGACACTATATAATAAAGTTTTTTTGTATATAAACATACTAACTATATAATTTTCATAGTATAAAAAAATTGGTGCAAAGAATCATTGATAAAAAATTTAATCTGTATTATAATGATTTTAACAAACTCTTTAAATTTAGCACATATACTTTATAATATATATTTTTTAATATTATTAAATTCTTTAATTTGACCTGCGGGTCAATAGCAAAGTGATTACACTCCCAGTGTACCAATCACAAAATTGCTAGTTCAAGTCCAATAGGAGACATAAACTTGTTAGAATTATGATTATGGATTAACTACATCAGATGGCATATTACGAAAATAGAAAGATCTTTAGTACCCAGATCCTTAAATGACAACAGACCTGACATAAGAAGGCCATGATGATTAGGGAGCTAAAGATAATAATAAAACAAAGGAATTTCTAATTAGGAATTATTTTGATAAAATTCTGAAGTAATAGGAACACAAAAATTAGTATATAGATAGTATTGTAAATGTACACAAACAATGTAAAATGTAGATAGAATCTTGATAGAAGGTTTTGTAAATTTGAAATATGAACTAATAAAACAGTCACCAACTGTGGCCTGCTAGCAATCATGCAGTAAGAAATTAAAAAAAAAAAAAAATTCTTTAATTTAAACATTACCTTTTACAAAGTTAAAACTCATACAAATAATATTTTTAATAATATAGCTAACATTTTAGCAAAATAATACATTTTTTCTTTGCTTTTAAATTTCTAATATACAAATATTTATAACTTTTTTTATATTTTTACAATAGAAACAAATTCTGTCAAGCTCTTTATCAGACATTTATTAAAAATATCTGCAAAGTTTATATACTAACAATATGGTTTTTATAAAAAAAAATATAATAAATAGAATTATATTAGTTATTATTATTATTATTTTTTTTTGTAATTAAAGTCTTTATCTTAGAGATGTAATATTTTTATTTAAGTATATTAGAACACAGCATGCCATCAGGGGCTCACCTTATATTGGAGATTATAACTAGCCACATGTGCATTTTTAGTGCCTAATTTAAGTAGTCTGCTTACATATTGCTATATAAGTTCTATACTAGTTGCTATACCTGCAAGCTGATTAGAGGTTTTGCCTATTTAAACCCTCTGCATATGCAGTCCTCCTTGTATTATGTGAACATCTCAGGGCTATACCCATTTAAGTTCCTGATGCTTGTTGTTACCTTTAGGACTAGTTTATTTTTGACAGAAAACTTACTAGAGCCTTTATGTCCTATACATATAAATCTAGTTTTATGCAACATGCTATAGTTACCTAACACTTGCAGTTATAGGAGTTACCTGTTTAACCACTATGTTATACTATTTCTATCCTTATAAAGTTCACTAAAATCTCAGTACCTATCTTTTTGGCATTTTTTCTATCATCTCCTACTAGCTACAACTCAGAACCATCAGTCTCATTTTAGACTACTAATTTAGATGGCCCAGTATAGTATACTCTGTATCCTTTTCCTTTGGCGAATATGGCAGCCTGGTTGGTTATATGCTCTTCTACATATATTTAATATTCAGTTTTAATCTTTGGTTTCTATGAAGGTGTTTTATGAACTTCAATCAGTCTAATGGTACTGTTAAAAGTTCATGCTACCTCTTTACTTGGAAATTTTCAAGTGGGTTTCTATCATCTTGGTTTCTTAGTCTTCTACACCTAATGGTCTTATTGAGAGTTTGCACTAAAGTTTTATGCAACACCAGTTATACATTCCTCTATGTATGTATAATGTTACACTTCACATAGATGCCCAAGCTCCTAATGTTGATAGGATCTGACTTGGTGTACCTATATAACAGCCATATGAGGCCAACCAATTGATAGAAGACAGTTATTATAACACAGATATAATTTTCAAATTTTGTCATAAGTGAAATTTGAACCTTAGACCTTCTACTTAAAGAATAACAACCCAACCACTACACTAGGATTACCATCCTCATATTAGTTATTATATAGATTGACAATTTATATAATTATACTTTAATTATAATTAAAAACCTTAATCTAATTTTATTAGTTTTAAGCTTAACTAATCTAAAGTTTTTAAAATCAAAGCTTTACTAAATAAACTGCTAATATATATTTTTTTTATAATATTTATCTAACTATTTTTATAAATGTTAACTGCAGAAGTGTAATAACTTAGTAAAGTGAATAAGTTGTTAATCTTTCAAGTAATAAGTTAGATGTTCAAATCTTATTAATAGCAAAAATTTGAACAATTACTTATATAATACTTGTATTATAGCAACTGTTTCTAACAATTTAGTTAAAATACCTGTAATAGTGATTGCATTAGCATAATTTGAAGCATTTGTATAACTGGTTATATAAAGAAATGCAAACTAGTATCAAACAGTATAAACTCTAGATAAGTTCTTGTAATTATATAAATTTATTGAAATTAGAAAACAAAAAGTTCATTTGAAAAAGCCTAAGTAGAGAAGTAACATAAATCTTTAACAGTACTACTATAAAAACTAGATTTAGAAAATGAATATCAATGTTAAAGTACTTTGACAGACAAGAATCTCTGAGTAGAAGATATTACCAAACAGACTACTAAAATAAAAAAATAAAAAAATATCAGGCTAATCTAATATATTAATAAACTAGTTATATTAGTCATCTCATTAAGCATAATATACCAACTTGATATATTTAAATTAAAATATAATTACACAAAATTTACATATTATTAGAAGGTAAATATTGGGTTCACAGAATACAGGTCAAGAAAAATATGATGGATTGTTACTTAAAAATACCAAATATTATAAAATGTTGTATTATGAAAGAGGTAAAATGATTTAGCAAGGCTAAGACATAAGTGCAAGGTCTTAGTTTATTAATGAGATAGTTTTTATTACTAATATGGCTATTGCTAATAATGTCTATTCTAAAATATTCTTCTTTCTCTTAACTCTAAAAAAAAAAGCACTTATATACAAGAATAGTACTCCACAAAAAGAGACAGTACAGGGGCTCAAGATCAACATTTTCCTACTAAACTCAATGGTCTCAGATTTGTTATTACGATTAGGACCTTGAATGGCCTTATGTGGCACAAACAATTAGCCTAATTTGGCAGATTTACTCTAACAAACAGCTATAGTTTCTGATTCTGC